CCCAATCCCAGGGATCCACCTTCCCTGATCCCGGGATCCTTCCCATTCCCAGGGATCCTTCCCATTCCCAGGGATCCTTCCCTGATCCCGGGATCCTTCCCAATCCCAGGGATCCTTCCCAGTTCCAGGGATCCTTCCCATTCCCAGGGATCCTTCCCAGTTCCAGGGATCCTTCCCAATCCCAGGGATCTGCAGAGGGTTGGGATTCCCAGAGCGGGTGTTTTTCATCCCAAAACAGCAACTTCACACCTGGAATGGGCTCCAGCAGAGCCAGGGAAACCTCAATCCCATCCATCCCATCAATCCCAATCCCATCAATCCCAATCCCATCAATCCCATCCATCCCAATCCCATCCATCCCAATCCCATCAATCCCATCAATCCCATCAATCCCATCCATCCCATCAATCCCAATCCCATCAATCCCATCCATCCCAATCCCATCCATCCCATCAATCCCATCCATCCCATCAATCCCATCCATCCCAATCCCATCCATCCCAATCCCATCCATCCCAATCCCATCCATCCCAATCCCATCCATCCCAATCCCATCCATCCCAATCCCATCCATCCCAATCCCATCCATCCCAATCCCATCCATCCCATCAATCCCATCAATCCCATCCATCCCATCAATCCCAATCCCATCCATCCCAATCCCATCCATCCCAATCCCATCCATCCATGGGAAGCTGGGAGCAGCCCGGGCGCTGTTCCAGGCTAATCCCGGGCTAATCCCGGCATTCCCCGCTCCCAGGGCTCATCACGCTGGAGGAGCTGCAGCAGCAGGTGCTGAAGGGGAGGGGGAAATTCGCTCAGGACGTCAGCCAGTGAGTGCCGGGAATTCGGGATTGGGAAAAGGGGGGGTCCCTTCCCAGCCTCGGGAATTCCCAGAGCTGCAGCCAGGACTGCTGGATCCGCCCTTCCCTCGGGATACTCTGGGATCCTCAGCCACTCCTGCCTGCGGCTGGAGACGATTTTTTCCATAAAAATCCAGCCCTGAGAGGACCTTTTCCCTAAAAATCGAGCCCAGGAATGTTTTTTCCCTGAAAATCCAGCCCCAAGAGGATTTTTTCCCAAAAAAACAGCTCCAAGAGGATTTTTTCCCCAAAAATCGAGCCCTGGGAGGATTTTTCCCGCTGGAACTGCAAGGAGGGGACGGATAAATCCCATCAGACACAGATTTTTAGGACAAAACTCCCATTTTTGGGGGCTGAACCTTCAAGGCTGCCCAGATGCCGAAATCCCGATCCCAAATTCCTTTATGGAAGCAATTCCCGGTTTTTAACAGCGAGCAGCACGGGGCCGTTCCTGCTGGAGGCTCCGGCATTCCCAGGGCTGGGATTGCAGCTGGGATTGCAGCTGGGATTGCAGCTGGAATTGCAGCTGGAATTGCTGCTCCCCAGGGATGATCTGCTCCGGGCCATCAAGAAGCTGAAGGTTTTGGGGAACGGATTTGGGATCATCCCGGTGGGAGGAACATTCCTGGTGCAGTCGGTGCCGGCGGAGCTGAACATGGATCACACGGTGGTGCTGCAGCTGGCAGAGGTGGGAATGATCCGGGAAAAGGGCTGGGAATGGGGAATTGGTGGGAATGATCCGGGAAAAGGGCTGGGAATGGGGAATTGGTGGGAATGATCCCGGAAAAGGGCTGGGAACGGGGAATTGGTGCCTCCAGGACTGGGAATTTGGATTGGATCTGGTTTGTGGGTGAAGCTGCTGAAGTGTGGATTTAAATCTGGATGAAAGCCAGCTGGAAAAATCTCATTATTTCCATAAAAAAGTGGGATTGGGCCGAGCTGGGATGAGAGCGAGCCGGGATTTTTCCTGGATGTTTTCCCAGAAAAAGGGGTTTGTGACGGTCAGCGAGATCCGGGCCAGCCTCAAGTGGGAGACAGAGCGAGCGAAGCAGGTTCTGGTAGGTGGGAATGGGAATGGGAGAGTGGGAATGGGAATGGGAAAGTGGGAATGGGAATGGGAGTGGGAATGGGAATGGGAGTGGGAATGGGAATGGGAGAGTGGGAATGGGAATGGGAGAGTGGGAATGGGAGAGTGGGAATGGGAATGGGAGTGGGAAGGGGAACAGTTCCTCAGCCCATTCCCGCCATCCCAAACCCATCCCAAACCCATTCCCAGCCCATTCCCAGCCCATCCCCAGCCCATTCCCAGCCCATCCCAGCCATTCCCAGCCATTCCCAGCCATTCCCAGCCCATTCCCATTTCCCAGGAGCAGCTGCTGAAGGAGGGCATGGCCTGGCTGGACGCTCAGGCTCCGGCCGAGCCGCAGTTCTGGCTGCCCGCGCTCTTCCCCGAGCTGCTCGCCCAGGACGGAGCCGCCCCACAGCCCTGAGCGCGCCGGGATCATCGGGAATGACAGCTGGGATCCTTGGGAATGCTGGCTGGAATCGTCTGGAATCCCTGCTGGAATCCTCCGCAATCCTGGCCAGAAACCTCAGCAATACCGGTTGGAATTCTCCGGAATCCCTCCTGGAGACCTTGGGAATCCCTCCCAGAATCCTTGGGAATCCCCCCTGGAATCCCTTCTGGAATCTTCAGGAATCCTGACTGGAATCCTTCCTGGAATCTCTCCCGGGATCCTTGGGAATCCCTCTTGGAATCCCTCCCAAAATCCTTGGGAATCCTTCTTGGGATCCTCAGAAATCCCTCCCGGAATCCTCGGGATCCCTCCCAATCCCAGGGACGGCGGGACTGGGAATAAAAGTTTTGTAAAATGTTCCTGAGTTTGGGAAGTTTGGGATCAATTCCCGCTGGATTCCCTGCCTGGTTTGGGGTGGAAATGCCTCGGATTGTGGAAAACGAGGAAAAGGAGCTGAGAGCGGAGTCTTGGAGACCCAAATGGGGTTTGCAGTGGGAAATGGGATCTGGGCTCTGGAATTTTGGCTCCCAGCAGCAGCAAAACTGGGAACCCTGTCCTGCGGTGCCGCGGGAAATCGTTATTCCAGGAGAATTCCCACTAAGGAATACCACAGGCTCCATTCTGCCAAAACGAAACTTTATTGCACAAAGGGGAAAAAAATAAAAATTAAAAAGAAAAAAGGGGGGAAAAAAAGCCCAGAAAAATCCCAAACCAGGAAAAAAAAAAAAAAGCCGGAATTCTTCTGTCCAACAAAACAGGCGGAGATCTCCGAGCGCCTCTTGTGCATTTATTGAGCTCCACTTCAGCCTAAAAATCCCTTCCTAAAACAGCTCTGCCCACAGCGGCGGCCGAGGATTGTCACTGGGAACTGGGACAGCCCCTCCCTCCGGGAAAACGGGATAAGGCAATTCCCACAATTCCCACAGTTCCCACAATTCCCAGCCCGGCAGGCTGGGAAAGCTCCCGGGGACAAAAGGTGACGGTGAGGAGGTGACACCTGGGGATCCCCTCAAGGGTTAAATCCCAACTGGTCCTGGGGGGTTTGGAGCAGGGGGAAACAATTCCCAGGTTGTGTGGGATAAACCATCCCAGGTTATTTGGGATAAACCACTCCATTGGGATAAACCATCCCAGGTTATCCATCCCAGGTTATTTGGGATAAACCATTCCCAGGTTGTTCAGGATAAACCATTCCATTGGGATAAACCATTCCCAGGTTATTTGTGATAAACCATTCCCAGGTTATTCAGGATAAACCATTCCATTGGGATAAACCATTCCCAGGTTATTCAGGATAAACCATTCCATTGGGATAAACCATTCCCAGGTTATTCAGGATAAACCATTCCATTGGGATAAACCATTCCAGGTTATTTGGGATAAACCATTCCCAGGTTATTTGGGATAAACCATTCCCAGGTTATTCAGGATAAACCATTCCATTGGGATAAACCATCCCAGGTTATTTGGGATAAACCATTCCCAAGTGGATAAACCATCTCAGGTTATTTGGGATAAACCATTCCCAGGTTATTCAGGATAAACCACTCCATTGGGATAAACCATCCCAGGTTGTTCAGGGTAAACCACTCCCAGATTATTTGGGATTAACCACTCCCAGGTTGTTCGGGATAACTCCCGAGCTGTTCCACCACAATTCCCCCATTTCCCACCTTTCTGCTGAGAGCAATCCCCAATCATTCCAGGGTTTTTCTGGCTCCTCCAGGCCCCTCAGGATGAGCATCCCGGGCTGGGAAGTTTTCCCAGCTCCAGCTGATCCGAACCGGGGCCAAACTGGTGGGGAGGGGAGTAGGGGAGGGCAAAATGTGCAACTTTGTGCTCGGCTTTCTGTCCATGAAAACATCGGGATGGGGAAAATCAGCTCCTGAAGCTCTCGGTCACCCAACCTCTGCTCCAACGGATCCTCCCCAGGCTCGGCTCCCTGGAAAACGTGGAATTTTCACCTGCACCCGCGGCTGGGCGGGGCAGCACGGCCACTGCCACATCTCTGAGGCAATGCTGGAATAAATCCTGCTCCGAGCACTCCCAGTGCTCCCAAAAACCTGGAATTTCCCAAAACTCCGGGATTTCCCAAAACTCCAGGATTTCCCAAAACCGTGGGATTTCCCAAGGTTTGGCAAAGGAATTTTCCCGAAATTCCCCCTGGAACTGTCCCTTTTCTGGGGTCTCCACGGAAGGACAGGGAGGGAGGGGACGGGAAAGGTGACACCAGAATTCCAGGTAAGGAAAAACCAGCTCCACCAGGAACAAAAACCCTCCCAAAACGCAAAATCCAAAGCGACGCTTCCGGCGATAAAACACCAACCCTGAGCGTTCCCCTCCTCTCCTCTCCGAGCGTTTTTCCTCATCCTCCCTTTCCCAAACCTCCCGGACGAATAAATCCGTGGATTCCCGCAGTTCCCGCTTTCCACGTGAAGTTTCCAAGGCGCCCCAAGGCTCGGGGGAAGCTTTGGGGAAGGAGCCGCAATTCCAGCGGGGAGAATTCCTTCTTATCTTTGGTCTGCTTAGGAGAAAACCCCCGGGAACGCCCCGGCTCTCCCGAATTCCACCTGGATGCACCCCGGGCTTATCCGAGCGCTCCCACAGCTCCAGGGAAGAGCTCCCTCCCTGCCTAGGAGCAGAAAAGCTCTCGAGGATTTGCAGTCTAGAGCTCATTCTTTAATCGGAGAAACAAAAAAAAAAAAAAAAACAAAAAAAAAAAAAAAAAAACCCCAACCAGTGTAGGTGTTCTCCAAAAAAACCCCCAAAAAAACCCCCAAAAAGAACCTGATGCCACGTGCCAGGAAGTACCTTTTGTCCAACAGGAGCCTGTCCCGAGCTCGGCTTTGTCTCTTTTTGGGAATTCTCTGGGAAGCCTCCGGAGGGAGGGAGGGAGGGAGGGATCCGGCGGCTCTCCCGGCCCGGCTGTGCTGCAGTCCCAGGGCCGGGCCCAGCCTCGCTAGGCCTTGGGGCAGCCCTGAGTGTCCGGCTCGGGCTCCGAGGAGCTGCTCTCCGAGTCCATGTCGGCGCTGTCCTGCTGCAGCCGCTCCTGCAGCCGCGCCCGCAGCCCCTGCAGCCGCCCCAGCAGAGCCTGGTAGTCAAAGTGGCCGCGCTTCTCCCCGAAAGGATCCTGGGGAAAAACGGGAATGACCAACGGGGGTGAGGGTGGGATGGAGGGGGAGAGGTGGTGGGGTGGGAAGGGGGGAAATTCCAGGGGGAAAGGCCAGTCTGGAGGAGAGTGCTGGAATTTCTCCTGGGAAGGATCCTGAAATTCTCTCTGGGAAGGATCCTGAAATTCCCCCAGAGAGGATCCTGAAATTCCCCCTGGACAGGATCCTTGAAATCCCCAGCTGTGCCCCACATCCATCCCCATCCCCAGCTGTGCCCCACATCTGTCCCCAGCTGTGCCCCACATCCGTCCCCAGCTGTGCCCCACACCCATCCCCAGCTGTGCCCCACACCCATCCCCAGCTGTGCCCCACATCTGTCCCCAGCTGTGCCCCCCAGGTCCCGGCCGTGCCCCTGCCCCACCCTCACCTGCATGGTCTGGCCCTGCAGGTGCAGCCTCTCCTTGCACACGCCCTCGTAGAAATCCAGGTATTCCATGAAGGATTTCTCCATGACGCCGCTGGGGACGGGCAGGGCGGGCACGGGGTCACCCCCAGCGCCCCCCGTCCCCCTTCCCTCCCTCCTCCCAGGTTTTTCTGGGAATTGTTCCCCCCTCCCAGGAAATGAACTTTGATTTCCAGCCGCGGGCAGAGCTCGTTTCGCACATTCCCACATTCCCAGCTCCCGGGATCCGCCCCTAACCCCGGGAATTGCGGCTGGGAACGGTTCCTGGTGACCCCAGACCCTGGGATCTGCCCCAAGCCCCAGGAATTCGGGAATGCCGGCTGGGCAATGCCCCCCAGCCCCGGGATTTCGGGAATGCCGGTTGGGAAGTGGCTCCTGGTGCCCCCCCAGCCCCGGGATTTCGGGAATGCCGTACCGCAGGGGCTCGGGGCAGGGACACTTCCCCTCGAGCATGTCGCACACGGCCACGCGGATCGTCTCGTGCCGGATGCACTCGTTGTAGTTCTTGCTGTCCCCGGGGTGCCGCTCCTGGAAAACGGCTCGGGATGGTGGGAGCAGGGCCCGGCTGCGCCCCACCGGCCCCTGATGGTCCCTGAGCACCCCAATCCTGGTTATCCCTGAGCACCCCAATCCCCGTTATCCCTGAGCACCCCAATCCCCGTTATCCCTGAGCACCCCAATCCTGGTTATCCTTTCGCACCCCACTCCACGCCAACCCCGAGC